AAAACGCGGGTTGTGCTTAGTAGAACGGAAATTAGATTTAAAAAACCATATGGATTGATTTGATTATGCATAAATCACCAGCTTTATAAATACTGGTTTACAGTTCGGAAAATCGGAAAAGGGTTTTGGATTTTACACTGTAAATGAAAATAATAGTTACAATATACCAGTTTCACATTGCTAAAACTCATAAACTTACTGAAACTTCATTGTATTTTTCATTTACTTGCATGGGAATAAATAATAGAAAAAAACAAAATTAATTACAACCTAAAAATAAACAATTATATTTTACAGTACCTAAATCTAAGCCCCGTGACCCAATTTCCAGACTGATTTTTTTATTCGTGGAAACGACCCCTTCGAGAAAAATCTATTCGGTTACACATACTACAACAAAATCTACCGATAAAAGTAAGCTTCACTTGGCCACCATATTTTTATCCAATACACAAACCATCCATCTGCTACGCTAACATCAGCGCAATCGTACTACGCCCATAAAATGTATTTCGTACTGCAAGAAGGAAAATCATTCGCATACAGACTCAAACACAACCTCAAACTATATCACCATTCTCCAATCTGTTTGTCTGTGCGCGAGTTCAGCATACACGCAAAAGGAACGTGTCCACCACACCATAATCAATCCAAGCAAAGCTACATCAGAGAGAGAGATCGGTGACGGGAACTCTGCCCAGCTGCTGCCGCTTCATCAGGAGCGCAGCGAAACAACACGTATGGACAGAAGTAGGTAAAGACAAACGGAAACGAAAGTAGGAATTGTATGAAAACCAACACACAGCAGAAGGATACGATGAAATCATTTACCATGTTCGAGAAGATCGAAATTAATATCAAATATTTATGACGGATTTTTAGATACCTCCGTGTAACTAATTTTTGACAACAAATATGGTATTTATCGAACACATGCTAATAGCAGCTAAACTGTTATCTTTATTATATAAAATAATGTCAATATCAATTAAATTTTCCTCACAAAACTATCATATCACTAATGTATAATATATAGAAACGAATCCATCGAAATCGATCTGGGGTGGGGCAATCATAAATTACGGCACATTTTTTGACAATACATAGGGACAGTCTATAAGCTACGTAGACAGCTTCTGATAGATTTTAGACCTCACTCTCTCTTCCACTGGAGGCGAACCATAGAGGTAACTCTAGGAAAGTCCCGAAGAAACGTGCTCAACTTTTTGGCTCAGCTCTGGTACTCTATCGGTCCCAAGCTAATCGATGCACCCCTCGGAACATAGGAAAATCCACGAACCCCTCATTTTATCTGTCAAACTTTCATAGCAAATCAAAACAAACATATGGTAGTACTAGAATGGGGTACGCTTATAGATGTACTTGGGACGAATAGGCTAGTCAAGTAGTGAGCCAATTAAAAATCGTTAGTTTCCACAGGTTGATAATACTCCCAACCCTCCCCCTCTTTAAACTGCTTCCGTAGTTTATGGAATACCCCACACTTTAAATAGTTTGAATGAGTGTGTAGTTGCTTACAATTTATTAAGAAGAAATCTTAAACAAGTCGTATTATGTTTATCTCAACATCGATGATTTTTGCCAATTGGGTTGTTCAATTAAATAAAAAACGAATTTTATCATCTGAAAGAGCTTCGTTTTTTGAGCAAACGATATTTTTATCGATCCCATAGACATTCATCTCGATTTTTAAAGGGTGATTTATTTTTTTATTGTTGATGCTAATCTATTAGTTGACAGCTCGCTCTCATATTAAGTCCCAACGGAAGGGCGCAATACTTTTGTTTTCTTTATTAAAGAGACTTTCACCCTTAGGCTGGATTGTGTCTATCATTTACAAATACTTAAGTATGTTGATTCACCGTTTGACGCATGATTGTGAAAAATTATGGTTGAAAACCTCAATGTTCAAATAAACAAAATATTGTAAAAATTTAATTTATATAGTTCACATGTTGATTCATAATATGTTTGATAAAAAAATAATAATTTATATCAGTACTTAAATTACGTTGGAGTATTCAGACATATAAGATTTGGATGTGTTACTTAAAAATGAGTAACATGAGTAATGCCCCTTACAAGTCTTTCAATACAACCCAGGCTGCTGACCAAATATTTAAAATCTTATCATTACTGCTTTCATTATCTTAAAAACACTCTTAAATTCATTAATTACTTTAATCACTGCAAAAAAAAACATTACAAATTATTTTCAATGCATCCAAAATACCTTTCATTATATCAATTATCGTTAATTACTACGGTCACCGGTATTGAACGGTCAAAGTACACCAGGAAGTGCGTGGCTTTCGGAGTAACATTTGACTTTTGTTTTACGAATCTTTTTCAGAAGTGTCCAGTACACTAAACGATCGCCAATTTAAAGTCCGTCAACTGAAACAAGTGGAAAATAAACTTGTTTCAGTTATCGAACGTTGAGTGTACTAAATACATGTTTATTTTATTTTTAATAAATAACTCATTTAATAAGTTAGATTGCTTTTCAAAAGTCAACTTTCCCGAATAAAGTTAAATTAACAAAAATGCAACAATTGTTTAATAAGCTAAATAAATTTTCATCATTCAAACAAGCATATTAAATCTACCTACAATAATTTAAAATTCTATGTTTTAAATCAAGATTGTACGGTTTTTTCAGCACTTTCGTAGATTCCAATAATATTTCATTTTGGAGTTTTCTAAAATAAAATTCGATTGCATTTCTTAGGTACATTTTAATTCGAATTATGACTAATTTTGATTCTTATGATATGATAAGACAATGGAGTGATAACGTGTTATAATAATTGCTATAACCAAAAAAATATATCAAGATAGTCATATAACATGTTATAACGGCTCTGAACAAAGCATTAAATTCGAACTGATCAACGCTGTATTCTAGATGTTGAAACATGGTACGTAATATACGACCGCGTCCAGAGCGCCATTTTGTATTTTCTCTCCATCTGCCACAGACAACCAGCCTGACTTGGCAGTGCTATATTTAACCTTCCCCGCATCGGCGAACGTCTAGCTTGCTTGCAACGCTGCCGTACAGCAACGCCATCCGCCAAGCTGCGGCGGAAAAGTAGCACATTGAGTTGAACGTCAGCATTTTACCTTTCTCATGCCACACGCTCTACACTCCCTGCGACTCTCTACAATCACGCCACCATCGTTGGTTCACTGCTGAAGTCATGCTCATTCTTGCCCATCGTCATTTTCTGCCTGCCTGCGTGCCTACTGTGTTAGCAGTTCATACGGTCGTCTTCCCAGCTATAGCGATGGAAGGCTGGTTGTTGGCTTGTAGCGTCCGCTACCCTATTCACAACGGACGCCCAACCGACAAAAATCAATTTGCTTGTATTGTATCACGGCTTCTCGCAAGCTAGAGTGCTTGTGTCGAGTGAGCAAGCAAATACGGCAACCTTGCGCTAGGGGCATTTTTGGAACAACAGCAGCAGCACTGCCATAAAGTAAAAACGTGGCAACAGGGCATTTTATGAATATGTACTAATTTTGACATTCTCTTTTAGTCTTTCGTTCGTTGCCTTGGTGGTATAGCTTTTCATTCCTACTGAATGTGTCATGAGAGCTCGGGGAATTCACGACAAGTCTTCACAAAGATAGGGAAGATGACAACATCAACTTTCAATTATCATGTGATCAATTGGGCTATTACATTTAGGTTAAATTATAGTAGATTAGATAAATTGCAGCAAATTTTATCATGAAATTATTAATTTAGGACCTGATTTTATGAAAATTGATTTTAAATGCTAGTTAAGTGCAAATAATATTGATTAAGTAACTTAACTAAGCAAACATATATTGAACACTCTAAAACAATAATACATATGTAATATAAGCAAACTAATTATAATATATTTATTTAATAAACATAACTTGTTTAGATAAACATAGTGGACATAAGTTTTTTGCAAGTTATTTAATGAAATTTCAATAAACTTTTGATAAAATTCAATAAATGCTTACATTTTAAGTAAGTAAATAAAGTTATTTAAACCCCAAGTTCATCAAGTTATATTGCTTGACGTAAGTATTAAATAAACTATACACATCAGTGTCAACATAGATCCACCGAAAAAAAAAATCATCCATCCGCAAGAACGAAACCATTCAAAATGAATATCATCAATCTAGCCAAATCGGATAAAAATCCGAATCGAACCAGACTCGAACCCTGCAGTACCCGACGCTTGTAAAATTTCGTTTACCTCATGTATGAGTCCATTATGCCGTGGGTAAGCAGTAGGCACCAGCAGAGACAGGAAAGTAAAAAAAAAAAAAAACGTTCATCCTACATCGTGGCGCATGCGCAGCCGTACATACCCTCAAAACTCGTTTTAGCTGCTGCTCTGCTATATCATCTCTCCCGGACGGTCGACCGTTTGTGTGGTCAGTTTACCCTATTATCGCGGTAACCGTACTTTATTTATTTTTTACGTTCGTCTTGCTTTGTGCCGACCTGCTCGTGGGTTGATGTTCGTACGAATTCGTGCAAATGTTGAGGCGAGCTGTCTACCCGTGGTTTGAAATTTACTGCTTGGGCTGTTTGTATGGGTGCGCTTGCAGATGTATGGTATTAACGCTGCGTAGTGGAAGAGTGTATGATACAAACGTGAAATTGTCAGATCGAACAAAACGAGCTTGCCTGGGAAGCTACGCCACGGCAGCCATTTTGTAATTTCTTGTTTCGATCAACTTTATTGGTAGGTCGATGTTTGGACGTTGGTGGCGCTACTGATGAATTTGTATGAATTTGCATGAATTTTCGAGTAAAAATCGCTTTTCGATGATATATTAACTTTGTATGAAAATTTATATTATATTCGAAAGAGGACCATAAAGCAACATAAATAACTATTGACGTTTCGAAATCGGCACATGGCCATCTTCAGGGCCGTCAGTCTTTGTTTTTACGATACATAACAGGTGGCTTTTCTACTTACTTCTTCTGTTTCTCGATGTAGTTGACCAACGCCCAGTGCTGGGCCCGCAGATGCCACATAATTTTCGGTGCACAGCTGAAGCACTGCCAGTTGTCGTTACGGGAGATGTCCTGCACGCAAGCACGGGACAAGTTCTGCACGATACACTTTTTGCAGAACACGTACGGACATTTCGAGCAGCAGTACACTTCACCGCCCTGTCCACACCAACGGCAGTACAGCTCGCTGCCATCTTCGCCCTTATCAAACTCGCCACTGTTGTAGAAGGTGTGGCAGTTGCGGCAGTGCGTTACCCGTAATATAGGATGCATTCGGATTACGGCTTCCGTGATTGGGGCCGTTCCGATGTGCATGTAGCACGAGGTGCAATGCACCTTGCGTTCCGAAATTTTGTTCACATTCGGAAATGCTCGCATGAAGAACTGCTTCTCCTGATCCGCCGTATCGTCCTCGAAGTCGAGACGAAACCCTGTGGAAATGGTAGAAGGTAATGTATGGTTAGGTTTAATTTTGTTACTGGACATTAAATCATATTTCGTGTCACTATTAAATATCATATAATGCAAATTGAAATTTCATCGTACAGCATTCACTTCAGTACGTATAAGCTATTTTACGATTTGTTTATCGGTATATAGGTTCGTATATCTGAAACAGCTTTGATATACACACATTCTGGATGTGTGGCGAGGTAGTATTAGTCGGAATAATTTAACTGTTGATTTTAATATAGGTGTCGTTTGGTACCAGGTCACCGCTTACTTTAGAGCAAAAGTTCACATCGTGTAAATTACTTTTTATAAATATAGTGAGCATATTTTGGAACTAGCTTGAAGGTCATTATCATAAGATTGTGGATAAAATATAAAACATGCAAACTAAATAAAGAATTGGTGGAGGACAAAATCATTTTTTTAATTTATTTTCTAAAAGTTCCGTTCAAGTTCCGCCAGAGGCTGCTTAGAATGCTCTTCAATTATGGTACCGGAACTTTCAAGTTCTTATAACGACTTAAAAATGAGGCTGCTTAGAATTTTATAGGCCACCTTCAACCAAGCTGCTTAAGCCACAAATAGCCTTTTGGTTACTTGGGAATTAACAGGTTAAACGCATGTTTAGATCTCAATTTGGGAACATTTTCAACGAATTTTGACAAAACGAGCAGTGATTAGAGGTCAACCGGTGAACGGGCATTACACGGTACACAAGAAATATGTTTTATTAGTTCATTACTATCGAAACCTTTTGTGTGTTTTAAATAAAAGTAAGAAACATTCGTTGGAAATTTTGTACTGACGACCAAAACGGGCTTAGGTGACGACACACCGTTAGAATTGGTATATGTGTGCTTGTGATTGATGGCTTTGTTAGGGACAATGCTTCGTGCTGTCAACAATGTCAATTGACATTAGACAAAGAACCAGCACTGAATTTTACTTTTTGCCTCCTCTGTTCGGGGTATAAAATCACTGCGAACAGTAATTGATCCCGTGTCCTTAGTATAGTGCATGTCGTATTACTCCATCACTATTGAGAAATGATCAAGTATTTGGTTTTGATACAGTTGTCATTCTTGCCTTCATCGCAAGGAATGAATTATAATTGAAAGGTCACGCTGTTTATACTTATCGAAGAAAGAGAGCACCCTCCAAAGGCGCGCTCTTTTGTCAGTCAAAATTGGTTTCCAAATTAAGCAATGACACCGATAATGACCATGCATCAGCCCCTTAGTCTTAAACACTTCAAACTAGGGAACAACGAATAGAATATTATTTAGGAATCACATAGACGAAGACTAACTGGGGGTTATTCCGAGAGTCGAAGTGACTTTTATCACCAGTGAAGTGAGAAAAGTCACGTCATGGTGACGTGACTCTCTGTGCAAATCAAATGGAGAGTCACGTCACCTCGACGTGACTTTTCTAACTTCACTAGTGACAAAAGTCACTTCGACCCCCACTAACTCATGTTTCCCTTGTTTCAAGATCATCATCGGTGGAAAACGCCGAGTCTTGTAACTATCATAACAGGCATAAACAATAACAAAGACTAAGATGTGTTCCTTTGATTACTGAAGAATCCTGTTCCCCTAGTTTGAAGTAGTCTAGGAATCTGTGGTAGATCTTAGATCCCGTTACGTACCACGAAAAGGTGATCTACCCACGTTACTTTTAATACTGATGATATGTATTGTCGCGCGTCCATCAACTCAGCAATAACGGCGCCGGTGGTGTAGTGGTAAGCGTGATTACCTCTCACCCCAGCAGGCCTGGGTACAATCCCAGTCGGCGCCGCCGGGATGTTCTGAGGCATAACATCTCTGATCACGCCTTCCTTCGGATGGGAAGTAAAGCCGTTGGTCCCCGGTTCATGAGTTGATGGGTCGATAGGTAGGGTCCAGGTGTGGGAGCTGCCTTCCTGGCACGTCGGTAGCATTGGTGCTCAGCACGGAAAACAAGATCGACGGAAAAAACAAACCAAAGGAAAAAAAAAAATCAACTCAGCAACGTCGCGTCCAGTGATGCCAGCGAAAAATGTCGTTTTGATTCTCAGTTGTATGTACAATATTCCTAGCAAGCGTGATAGTGGGCAGTTCGGCTTTGAAATAACAATCCATATCACTAGGGAACAGTTGAAAATCTTACTTTTGTTTCAAAAAATCAACTATTTTCAATGACCATTGCATGGTTTCAATACTACCGATGAGTTTTCTGAAGATCAGTACCCGATTGGCTGACGTTAGTGAGAAATATTTAGTACAGAACTTTTGAAATTGACACTATGTGCACTGATACTGACATTAGGGACAATCAGCACTGGTTGGGAAACTCCATGTGGTGCGAACGATGTTTTAAAATTTCCAAGTACCAACAAGCCTACTTATCCGTCTTTTGGCTTTATAAAGCCCTGCCAATTTAGAATAGGTACGCTTTCACTCGGATGTTTCTCAAAATCTGTTTGGTTTAGAATAAAACGTTATTAGAAGCAAACGTTACGTATTTATTGTAGTTTAAAGGTACAATATGGATTTTGCGATTTTTATTCCTCTCGAATAAGAATTCAAGCATTGGGCTTGATACGTGCCATCCACTTCAGCACAAGCTGCTAATCAACATCACCGGCTGCTTTTTTTTTCCAGTATCTGACCTTTGGAATTGCATCCTTAGCCATTTTCCCACTCTTCTTCAGATTTGCTTCGATGATACCCCAATACATTTCGATTGGGATCCTGGCAGTTTGGGAGGTTCATCCCTTTCTCAATGACGTCTACTCCATTATCGCAATACCAGTGTTGTGCATTCTTACTGTAGTGGCAACTCGCCAAATTTGGCCAAAACTCGACGGGGACCTAATGAACGACAATACACGTTATTTCAGGCATTCATTGATGTATAACTGTCCGTTCATATTGTTGGTTGTGATGGAAATCGATGTCTTCGGGCTACAGCTGCAGATTCCCTGCCAGATCATCAGCTTACTGGCAAATATGTCCGCAAGAACAAATTTATATTTTTTTGGAACATCTCCGCCACCCCTGGCAACATAAAACTTCTGTCCCGGGAACTGTTTGAAGTCCAATTTGACATACGTTTCATCGTCCATAAGAATGCATCCGTTGAATTTGGTCATACAGCTTTCGGACCCGCGTTTTGGCCGTAATATGTTGCTGTACGCTCCGGTTCGGCTGCTTAACAGCCCGATACTTGAAGAAACCATCCCGAATGCGTATATTCCGAACTGTACTGCGAACATCACCGAAAGCCTTCATGACGTTCTGACGCAGATAACGCTTCGACGCCTTGATTCCACCTTCCAAGAAACAGACAAACTTTCCTTGAAACGTTGCAGCACTACACAGACGGTGGCCATTTTCAGGTTAAGGAAACGCCACTGCAAAAGTTGTATCAGAAAAATCGAATACCTCGTCGAATTTAACATAGCATAATGAACGTAACATTAGATGGGGTTATAGGATCTCGCGAATACAACGTAGGGTTACGGTATGTAATGTGGGTCTAGTCCTTTCATTCGGCCTATCACGCAAATAAATAATTAATTAAGGAATATTACACAAAAAATAAGGAAAATATTGATCACTGATGGTTGATAAATGTGTACCACACACAAATCAATTTATTTCACAACATTTCAATACATTTTCAGCTCTCGTAAGTAATAAAACTGGTTGAGAATATCACAATGTTCGGAGTTTTTAGCCGCCATGACTTATAAGGTTAAGATGGGAAGGTTGACTGACGATCATCAAATGGCCTGATTATGGCATTTATTGATTGGAATTACCTGATAATACACACTAGACGTAAAACTTACAGTTGCTGTTTGAATATTTTATGTTTATTTTAATTGTTTAACAACGTTTTCACAAGTAAAACATGGACCCAACTTTAGGGACACATTTCTTTTCTATGTTCCTAACTATGGCCCATGAAATTCATTTGACAGCATATAGCAATAAGAGTAACGTCAACAATGTTGTTTTGCATTTGGATGATAAGGAACGAACAGGAAGGGAGATTTTTTCTGCCAAACCTGTATAATGAACATCACAATGTTCTGATTTAGATATTCTGCGGTCAAAAGACGATAAGCGAAATTTTTAATTTTTAATTTTTAAATTGAGTGATTTAATGTAGTTTTCGTAAAATTTTCTCTAAGAAATGTTTTGAGGAATGAAGAGCATTAAGTTAACAGTGATAGTGATAAAAAAAAATACATCAGAAAACGTTACCAAGAGCGTTTTTTTGAGGATCAAACAAGATAGGACGAAGTTGCATCCATAAATAGACCCAATTTGGGGACAATAGACCGATATTACATACATTTCCCTGGTGAGTTTTTGTCTTAAAAAAAGTAAGTTTTTCAACTTTTTGCGGTTCCTGATAGCAAACGACATGATAAGCATATCTAAGCATACCATTTAGCAGTAGAATATCGTTTGCAGGTAAATTCATTGATGAGTTATGATTAAAAACGTAATCGATGGCTGCATATTAGACCGAGGTTAGGGACGTATACCCTATATTCGTTGTTATGAGTCAGGTAACACAGTAGAAACCTATGTCTCCTTCCGTTGCGTTAGTGTGTTTTGATTTACATACAATAGGTATTTAAGACTCCAGCCATACGTGCAAAGAAGAACGTTCTTAATGTTGTGTTTACCTCTGTGCTGATTTGCTAGCGCTAGTGTACCACCGACAAACCGACATGAATGACCATACAAAGTACCATCACATTTCTGATCAAAGCACAAAACTGACATCTGCCGCCGTGTTCGCGAAAAATGTGTATCCTAGCCACGATCACGCATACAAAATGTATGAGTTGGTTCGTGTCTAATCTATTCCGAGCAAATTATTTTTATCTAGATAACAAATTTCTATGGTTTTGACAGATGGGATCGCTGCACATTTGAATCCACCGTTATGGATTCTCGATCAAAAGTTAAGT